TGTGCTCTGTGTAGTTGCAGGGAAAGCAGGTTTCAAGCAGGGAAGTGTGCAACGGAATCTCCAGCAGCAGATGGTGATGGTGAGGGACGGAACTGAGCAGGGGCACACAAACAGTTATTCTGGGATCTCCAACAGCAGGTAGTGATCATGAAGAAGTGCAGCTAAAAGTGTCAAATAGAGCCTCTCCGGGGAAAAGAAAGAGTGTCTTTTGGGGAAGGAAGACTCATGGAAAGAAGGAACAGACAAAAGATTCCTCAATCCAATGTGAAGGGCAGTCTTTATTACTTGTAACACATTGTAAATGCTTAAATGCCTTTTTGTTTAACCTTAATTTACTTTTATGTTTGTATTGGCTTGAAGTCCTGCTTCATGATCTTTGGGCAATCCAAGTTTTCAAATCCCATGTTACATCATTAAGACAGGATTGGTTTCCTGGCTTGATAATCATGACACGGCAGGATAAGGAAACTGTCAGATTACAGATTGTGGTTGAATACAATTCTGTGCCTGCTGATGTTTCAATGGACCTCGTGAGTAAACAGACTGAGCTGATTATCAGTTGTGAATCTATCTCATTTAGCACAGTTTTATCGCTACACAGCGCATTGGAAGGGGTCATTGGTATGACCATTGGACTTTGTCTCATTAAAGACTGTGCTGCAGTCTATCTTCTAAATACCGTCATAGTTTGACTTATCTGTGAGAGGTGGATTGATGAGGATGAGATCAAATAGATTTTTCCATCCTGTTAGTTCTCTCATCACATGCCAAAAGTCCAGGCTTGGTTCTGCCAGTTTAGTCGATAATGGTGCTGGTGATGGAAACTAAAGTTTGTTTTATTTATTCTTGAGGTATGAGCACTGCTAGCAAGGGGTCATTGTTATTTCCAGTCCTTAAGTGTTATTTAGAAAGTGATGGTAAGCTGTCTTCTTGAACTGCTGAAGTTCTTATGGTATAAGTACAGTCAATATGCAGTTAGATAAAGAGTTCCAGAATCTTTGATCTGGAGGAATGGTGATTCTTGTTACCTGTCAGGATACAGCACTATACTTTTAGGGATACAGCATTACTTGGAGGTAAATTTGCAGGTGATAGCCTTCCCTTACATCTGCTGCTCTTGGCTTTTCAGTGAATCGAGCTTGTGGGTTTGGAATATGTTGTCAAAGGACTCTTAGTAAACTTCTGCAGTGGTTAGCATTATGTGCACTGTAGGGTGTAAATTTTGAGGTGTTAGATGAGTGCTGATGAGGTTATCTGCTTTGTCTTGAGTGTTTCTGCAATTGCATCCATCCAGGCAAGTAGGGAGTATCCTGTCACACTCCTAACTTGTGCCTTCTCAATTATTAAAGCCAAGATGTGAGTCAGTCATTGCAAAATTCCTAGCCTGTTCTGTAGGTACAATATTCGTATGCTTGGTCCACTTAAGTTCTTGGTCAATGGTAACTCCTAAGATGTTAATAGTGGGGAGTCAGCGATGGCAATGCAAGTGAATGTCAAATCAAGTTGGTGTGGTGTTAATCTCACTTGCCAGTGTATTTCTTTCTGTATGCAAGCATAGACTGCTTCAGAATCTGAATAGTTACAACGGCACTGAATATTGCATAGAAATGAGCAAACATCCCCATTTCTGATGTTATGATGGACATGATTAAGCAAAGATAGGGGTAGGGACAGAAATCACAAGCCCCCAGTGTTGCTACTGGCCAAAGCCCTGGCCCTTCCCCAACTCATGTACAGTGGCCCTGTCCCCAAACCAAATATAGCAGACCCCCAAGAGTCCCAGAATCCAATTAGTGGGCTCCAATGTGCTATAAACATAGAGAAAAAATGCAGAAAACTGCAACACAAAGGGACTTAGGTGTACTTGTGCACAAAACATAAGAAACTAGCACAAAAGGTGCAGCAGGTAATCAGGAAAGCCAATGGACTGTTGGCTCTTATTTCCAGGGGTTTGGAGCATAAGAGTAGGGAAGTCTTACTGCAACTGTACAAGGTGCTGGTGAAACCAAATCTGGGGTACGTCAGTAGTTTTAGTCCTCCTATTTAAAGAAAGATATTATTTAATTGGAGGCAGTTCATACAGAGTCATACAGTTATGCAGCATGGAAACAAACCCTTCAGCCCAACTCGTCCCTGCCAACCAGATATCCTATATAAACCTAGTCCAATTTGCCAGCATTTGGCCCATATCCCTCTTAACCCTTCCTATTCATATACCCATCCAAATGCTTTTTACATGCTGTAATTGTACCAGCCTCCACCACTTCCCCTGGCAGCTCACTCCATGTATGCACATCCTCTGCATGAAAAACTTGTCCCTTAGGTCCCTTTAATATCTTTCCGCTCTCACCTTAATCCTATGTCCTGTAGTTTTGGACTCCCTACCCCAGGGAAAAGATCTTGCCTATTTACCCTATCCATGCCCCTAATGATTTTATAAACCTCTATAAGGTCACCCCTCAGCCTCCGACGCACCAGGGAAAATAGTCCCAGTCTACTCAGCCTCTCCCAATACCTCAAACCCACCAACCCTGGCAACATCTTCGTAAATCTTTTCTGAACCATTTCTAGTTTCACAACATTCTTCCTTTAGCAAGGAGGCCAGAACTGCAAGCAAATGGTTACAGCTGGGGAGGTGATTGCTGAGTGGTATTATCACTGGGCTGTTAATCCAGACACCCAGGTAATGTTCTGGGGACCTGGGTTCGAATCCCACCATAGCAGATGGTGGAATTTGAATTCATTAAAAAAAAGTCTGGAATTAAGAGTCTAATGATGACCATGAATCCATTGTCGATTTTGGGGGGTAAAGCCCATCTGGTTCATTAATGAATGAATGAACTTGCATTCAGTAATGTCTTTTGGTGAAGGAAACTGCCATCCTTGCTGGATCTGGCTACATGTGATTCTAGACCTCTATTGAGACAGCAGTTGAGCTTTAGAGAAGGTTCACTAGGATGATCCCTGATATGAAGGGATTGTCTTATGAGCAAAGGCTAAACAGGTTGGAACTCTGATCACTGGAGTTTAGAAGACTGAGAACTGATCTCATTGAAACATATAGAATTCTTAAGGGGCTTGACAGGGTAAATGCTGAGAGGATGTTTCCCTTCCTGGGAGAATCTAAGAGCGGAGGGCATAGTCTCAGAATAAAGTGGCACCAATTTAAAACTGAGACTGAGAGGAATTTCTTCACTCAGACAGTCGAGAGTCTTTGGAACACCTTGCCACAGAGAGCTGTGGGGGCAGGGTCCTTGTGTATATTTAAGGCTGAAATAAATTGATTCTCAATCAGTGGGAAATCAATGGTCACAGGGAATATACAAGATAGTGAACATGAGGAATCTCGGATCAGCTCTGATCCTATTGAATGGCTGAGCAGGCTTAAGGGACCAAATAGTCATTCTGTTCCTATTGCTTATGTTCTTATGGTCTTATGATGTGCTCGAACCTCCACCCTCCCATTCCCTGGACAAGACACTATCCTCAGAAACCTCTTGAGCTTAACATGCTGAGGTTAACATGATTGGCCTCCAACAATCACAACCTTTGTGCCAGACACCAGCAGAGACCTTCCACCCATTCCTGATCTGATTCCTTTCTGTTGCCTTGATATCAACGGTGGTCACTCCTATTACACACTGAGGTACGATCTGTGCCTCTGCTACCCTCAGTGCTTCCTCCAATTAGGAAGGCAGGATGCCAAGTGAGTACGGGTTGTTGATTTTCAATTCTGAATGTTAGTTTGCACTTACTGACATCAGTGCATGTGTTTTATGCAATGCTTAAATCAGTGCATGCACATTAAACAGGTTCGGGGGGTGCAGGACACAGCCTCAGACCTGGAAGGGGAATGTAGCCCAAGACAAACAATCTAAACAGTTTTGAATACCAATCTATAATCTGCTGATAGCAGGTTGAATTCTTCAGAGCAGTACAGGTGACTATCAATATTTTCTGTCAAAACAGAGTTTTTCTTTAATTAGGTGCTCTACTATCCAACTAAGCGTTAAAGAAAATAACAAAACTAAGACAAATTAGATCATGATATCAAGCAATCCTAGCACTCAAACTCATATCACAGGTTGGAAATGAATGACATTTAAATTACTGGATTTCTACTTTGTATATTTTTATATTTGAATTTTTGCTGTCTCCTGCTGCATGTAATTTTCATCTTCAGTAGTTGTCACACAGTTTGTCACATTAGAAAAGCATATCAGTGTTTCAAACTTGTGTTCCTCCATGAGATAACAAGATGTAGAGCTGGATGAACACAGCAGGCCAAGCAGCATTAGAGGAGCAGGAAAGCTGACGTTTCGGGTCTGACCCTTCTTCAGAAATACTATCTCTTTCCCCACGAGAACAGTTTTTCCTCCAGTAAAAATAATGGAGAGAAAACTATAGGAGTCATGCATCTGAACTTGTGAAAGCTTCACATAAGGAGGACCAAATACTATTTTATGATATTTTGCAGCGAAGTTACTGCTCATGCAAAACAAATAATGCTGCACCATTGTGCACCAGTAATGTCTCACAGTCAGTCATAAGGTAAATGGCCAACTAATCTTTTAAGTAGCATTTGTTTTATGTGAAATAGTGGCTATGACAGTGGGAATAGTGTCATGAGATTCTCAAAATCCACTTAACTAGATAGATAGTTTAACATCATCTGAGGGTTAACATGTCCAATAAAACCAAGTCCCGTCAGTTCTGTATTGGAATCTCAGCTTAACTATGCATTCAGTACTGTTGAGGAACTTACAATCAGGTCTTTAATTTCAAAGCAGACTGCTACCAACAAAGCTGAGTTGATCTCAGATCTACAAAATTAAAATAGCATTCAAACTTATTTTAGAAACCAACTTCCAGAAATTATCTTGCAATGTTTTGTGTTTTTTGCACAAAATACAGCTTTCACAATTTTATGTACATATAAAATATAATTTTAATCAATATCTATAATCTCTAAACCATCATTTTCATTCACATAGGGCGCTGATTCCACCAACTTTTCTCCAAATGCTCCTGAATATAATTTGCTGTTCGGATTAATAATGCTTGATTCTGCATTGGTAGTAACACCTGACATGCTTTTGTCATCTGTTTTTAAAAGATTTTCTTCAGCAAAACTTTCCACAAGCTTTGCATTTTCTACATCCTCCACATTTACATCCTCTTTGTTCAAGCTTGAAGCAACAGTACAGGTTGACTTCCCAGAACACAGCCCCATCAGGTAACCACACAGAACCACAGTTTGTTGCCTCTTCTGTTCAAATGAGTTTCTTTGAAAAATGGAGTGTTGTTTTTCCAATGAAATCCCACAAGAAAATCTATGTTTGGAATGAAAGAAAATCACAGTGCATAAGATGTGTCTTTTTTACAACTATTAAATTGTGTATTGTGCATAAAATGAGATTACTGACATCTAAAGCAGCAAAATGACATCAGATACATTCTTGAATGTAATATCTATCTTCCTGTCACTGGCTGATAGATAACCACTGAAAGAAACAAATTGCCAAACCATGGATGCATGACCACTTAATGTTTTGTTCTGTTGGAGACTTTTTGCACTTCTCACCATGATGTTGTTGGTATAAATCTAATCAAGTAGGCAAACATGGATTTAATGGACTAAATTTTGCCACAAGCTTTAGTACCCCAACATCAAGAACAATTAGGGACTATGAGTGAAACTACAATCTTGACAGATGTGACTTCCTAATTGGCTGTCTACAAGCTGAAAATCTAATTAAAGATGGCATGGTGCTGAGTTAGCCAAGGGGAGGCAGCTCTGGATTGTCAGCAGCCCCATAAGTAAAGAAGGGAATTGCTGAGGCAGTTTGAGGACTGTGATGGACCCTCAAATATACTGGTGCTTGCAATGGCTTCAAAGACATAAAAAATAATCAGATTTCAAAGCTGTGAGTCCTTCAGAAAGGAAGGGACACTCCAGCAGCTGGATCAGACCTTATTATCCATGTCTATATTATACCTGCTGCTGATAGATGGCCTCCATCTTGCTGGCAACCTAAAGGCCAGAATGCAATATGACTATGTAATCATCTCAACTCGGTATATTAACTGTATTAATAGGTTGTCCACCTTACATGCAGCAGACAACAGAGCTGCTTTCCAGGTTGCCCCAGAAGGCTCCCTGGCACCAGAATACATATGGGGCAATCAACGCAGCTCACTTCTATTTTCCCCCCTACCTCCACCTTCCATAAATACCAATATAGCCTCCAAGGCTTGGCAAAATTGTCTTTGAACAAGTAGCTGAATTTGTACTTGTATTTCTGGTTTATTGCCTGGATCTTTTTGACCTAGAGTTATGGAAGGAGTTGATTTTACTGGTGTCATTTTGGTAGATAAATCCTAAATCAGAAAAATCTATAACTTCTCTGATCTGGCAAGCCTGGGATCAAGTCATTTCTGTATTATAATAAAATGTTAAAATCCTTAACCACAACTGTGAGTTTAGCTGGAAATATGTTCCTGGATCCAAAATTGTTAGCCAAAAATAAGAAGCATGTGTATTTGCAAATCAGACTATATATGTATATAAATACATATGGATGTACCTGACAAGGTGGATTTCTTCATCCAAGCTCTAGTTAGTAGAAACATTTTCACTAACTTGGTTCCTTCATAACCTTCATTTCTTTGCCCAAAAACTTGCTGTATCAACCAGTTCATGAGAAGTCGTGGTCAATACAGTGTGGAGCTGGAGGAACACAGCAGGCCAAGCAGCATCAGAGGAGCAGGACAGTCGATGTTTCGGGCCTAGACTCCAGCTCCACACAGTATTGACTCTGACTCCAGCAACTACATTTCTTGCTATCTCTGAGCTCATGAGAAGTCTCTGCCTGGCTTCTTGTTGTTAATCTTTTACAGTATAAGGGTTGAAGACTGACTAGGCCTGGCATGACCAGTAAGGTAGTCATGCTATTTATTACCAGCAAACCTGACCAGAGCAGACAAAGGGGAATTCAACTGAAAAGGATTCTTAAAAAGAGTCTGAAAGGGGGCTCAAATGATAAGGGATAAAAACCAAAAGA